TTGAACATTGAAAAACAAGACCTAGAAAACGGCCTGGTATTCGAGGTCTCCGGTGAAAGTAAGGTAGGTTGAAGGGAAATCGCACTCCAGTGCGGGTGGAGAAAGTCGTCGAGAATAAGGACAGTCGACAATGGACAAGAGGATCCGTCCTCTGGACGGAGAAGAATGGCAGTTGATGAAGGTACATTATGAGCAGATCTGAACGGCGTTCAACGCTCGAGACAGATCATCTGGTGAAAAAGGCGTCAAGGTACCCTTTGTGGAAGTTGGCGGCAGTGGTGACACGGCGCGAAAGATCGGTGAGGTGTACTGTACCGACTCCTTGATTTGCGCGATGGAATCCATTCGAGCATCGTCAGAGTACAGAGTCATCGTCGAATCACTATAGCTGCTCGATTCGACGGCTGTAGAAGACGACGATCCCGAAGATTCTTCCTGTCGACCCGGAGCGTATTCGTGGTGGGAAACAGTGCCGGAAGCTGGTCGTTGTCAGAACGTCGTTACGTGTACGCTTACGATTGCACCAGCATGAATAGAGGGCAACGTGTGGAAAGGAGGTAACAGCCACTTACAGTTAAGCAATCCCACCTCTGGGGGTGCTGTCTCGCAGATCTGGTCTGGAGCCACGCCTTCGTCCTCACTTTCGCCATGACGGGGGTTCAAGTACTCCGATAATGATGTACAAGGAGACAGCGGTGTGTCTAACGCGCGGGGGCGCTCAGCCTGCGCAGCCTCGAATGACCAGGCGGCCAATCTCTTTTGGTGTTCAGGGTCGAAGGGGCCGCGGAATTTGGACGGTGGGATTTCACCGCGTTTGTAGTACTCGATCTTGATCCCATTGCCATTGCCATTGCCATTTCCGTTGGATTTCGATTTGGAGTGGCCATTGGAATTCCGGTGGAAAACCTTTCTGAACTTGTCTTTGAAGTTCATTGTGACAGTAGAAGCCAGGAATTATAGAGGGTGTTGTAAAGGATTGGTGTAGTGAAGTGTTGTAAATAGGTGCTGAGAATAGTAGTAGCCTCAATGCAGACCAGTCCCGGTGAGGGCACGGATGCGGGGGAGGGCGTGCAAGCACAAACTACGATCGACTGCAGTGAGAGACCTTTGGTTCATCGTTTGGTTATACGAGACTGGATTAGGGCAGGAGAGGCAAACTCGAGGAGGAAAGGAAAGAAGAAATGACAATTGAGGAGAAGAAGAGAGGGAGAAATAGAAAAGACGGGAGAGGAGAGATTATGGAGATGAAGATGGAGGCGGGTACGATGCACTGAATCGGTACTATGGAATCATAGATACTAAGGTAGACTAAGGTAAGTTGAGTAACATACGGGAACTGAGCAGATTAATTAAGAGAGATTGACTGTGAGCATTATTAAATAGGTAATAGTTACCATCAGTTATGGCGCAGATAAGCCGTGGAACTGAAGGCGTAACATCCCGGAACCTAATCCGGTGAGGGCAGGAGAGAGAAAGGCACGCCGTCCATAGGTAGTCCGCATTTCCGTACGGAGTATCTAGTGGATTACAGAATTACCAGAGAATGTGGGGAGGCAAAACGAGGAGCACAGAGGAGGATACCTATGAAGTAGTGATTCTTACTTGCTTCTCGCGGAAATCTTACTGCAGCTGCAACCTTCCTGGGATTCGGAGCGTTGAAATTGTGCTGTTCTGAGAGGGTGGGGGAAAAATAGCCAAACCCACTTGGCCATGGCTCTGTGCGTCTGACGGGTTAGACCATAAACGCCCCAAGCGATGGAATTGTTTGAGTACCTACAGTAGGAGTACCTTAGGTTTAAAGAGACCAGAGCCCATCAAACCTTCTTGACAGCCTTTTCATGATAATTATCGAAGGTAGACTAGATAGGCGATTACAGTGATACCTTAGAGATGCAACCTCAGCTTCTAGTTCTCTGAGTTTTGTTGAAATTGCGAGGTGAGAAATGAGATTACTCCATTCGGTGGTCGGCCCATCGAGGCCGATGTCAATCCGATCTTTTCCATGGGTGGCCAACAACCAAGCGTGCCGTGTGTTCCTATCTCGCACGAAGTTTACTTTACCTTTTTGTGAGTACCATATTTTCTCCTCAACCAGCCAACCAGTCCTGGACCAAGGGTTAGCTTCGTCTCGAGTCACTTCGTCTCGAGTCACTCCATCTAGTCAGTTCATTGTAGAGACATGGTCAGTCTCGCCAAGCATTCCAGTGTTCCTCTGTGCCAGGGAGGTAACATTAGTATGTGACCTTGTAACCATCCGAGGGCGAGAGTGGTGGCAAACGCATTGATCTATGACAGCCGTCTATTCTCTCTGCACAGACGTATTATACAGAGTACCTTATACTCGATAATGAGACATATTTATTGTCATGGAAAATACCTCACACATGATGATAGATGGGTAGCACTGAGTACGTAAGAGCACCTCGCTAGATGACTGGATACTTCCGCGGGCCTTACGGAGGTATGTGATAGGTTGGCGCTCTACATGTAGTCGCCCGTCCTGCAGCGAACAATTCCAGAATTACGGCCAAGACAGCCGGTCTGAGAGCCACCACCAACCAATCTAGCACCTTAATCTAAAGGATCCTGATTGCCACCGGGATCAAAATGCGACATACATCATCTTGCTGTAGTCTGTATTCTGGGCGTTTTGTTCTGGATTCAAAACTGCCAGACGTGTGCCATCGTCGTCAGCGAAGAAAGGCGGGGCAAAGGGCCTCTCCCAGGATATCCCTTCACACAAAAGATTATACCCGGCGTAACGTACTCCGGCGGCCGTTCCGTCATAATACCTACCTAGTGATTCAGAAGCAGCGAATCAGTGTGATGGGATGTGGGAGGGCTATGTACTCCACCGGAGTGAGTGATTTCATGTCTGACCCGAGTGCCCCACTCGGCACGCTGTTTCCGGTAACCCTTTTTCGCAAGTTAATGTAGTCAAACAGAAGATCATCCTTCCATCAGCAAGGCCTGCTGGCCCAATGGTAAGGCGCTTGACTACGGATCAAGAGATTGCAGGTTCGAATCCTGCGTAGGTCATTTTTTTTCCTACTTTTTTCTTAAAAGACTTATGTTTCTTCTCTGATCAAAGTTTGTCTAAGTACCAAGAGGAATCCCGAGGTGAATTTTACTGATATTGGATTACTTACCGCAAAGACCTGCAACCTTGCAGACCAGACCAGCAATGACTTAATGGAGAGCGTTGGGCGTCCTGGACTGCAATGCATGATGTCAGCCCAGCATTGCAGGTCTGCCTTGTAGAAAGGTACGTACGGGTACAGACGGGCCACATACAGACGGGCCACATACAGACGGGCCACGTACAGACTGGCCACGATATTTGCCTTTCTAGAAGACTCCTCGTGATTGCTTCTTCTGCTTTGGATGCCTTTTTTCGGGCATTCCCACAAGAGATGGCAGAGCCAGTACTGTTCTCTGCAGGCATGAGGGAATCGCCTTTATAGGATGACGTTTATGGAAGGGCATGTTTCTCGAGTCTACCTCTCACTTGTCCTCTGAAGGGCTTCAAATGATGTTTGACCATGTGGCGAGCCGTACTTTGGATGACAGGATGGTTTATACAGCCATATGTACCTCTCTATCCGGGGCCTAGATCGCTATGATCGCCATGGATGATTTCTGTGTTTGCTATGCTCACTAAGACCGCTGTATATATTCCTCCTGTCGTGTCTATGTCCACAAGTATATCTCTCGTGGAAAAGTCATCCTCATCCGGGTTCCCCGTACATATACTCGGAGAAAGACCGAAAGCATTAATCACCAAGCACCAGTGTTAAGACTCTAGAGATGACTCCTTGTCAAATATGTGCGACCTCCGGAAGCAGCAAGTGGCTGGCATATTACTCTCCAGGTTGCGGTCTACTCTGTTAGGAGGTAGACCTTTTCCGAAAGCCAATACAGGCACTTGAAAACTATGCCAGAGTTATCGCACCTTCTACCTAGATAGTAGTCAAGCATATTATGTTTAATGTTGATGTTGATATTATTCAATCTCAACAAACCACATCTCCTTCCGAAAAAGGCAGTTGATCAGGCGCTCGGAACAACCTTGGTCCGCTGTTAGGGCTGGGAGTGAAACCGCCCTAAACCCCTTGAGCAGCTGCAGGCACACGACCCGCGATCGCCGGAAACGGCTTGGCTGTCGTCGTTTTGAAGCTCCTGTTGAACACAGCAAGCATGCACTTCATAACTCATAGATACTCATAGCTCAAGATCCACGGAATCAGAAAAAAAGAAGGAATAATGCCATTGATCATGCCGCTAGATCGGCAAGCAATTGACTAAGCTGTTTCTATAATAATCTTAAATGATTCAAATGCGTCACCAGCAGGGAGAGCTGTTTCGGACCCGGATTGAACCGTGGCTGAGACCAGCCATCCCCTCGCTGATACGGTAGCCAGAATAAGCAAGATTATCATCATTTTACTGCAAGGACCTACGAATAATATAGCATTAGCTGTACCGCGAAAAGTCCTCGGCCCATGGGTAGTGGGTGCTTGCGACGCAGCTCATGTGACCGTTGCTTCTGAACTTCTCTCATCTTCCAGCGCACTGAACTCCGATCCAGTACAAGACCATCTCTGCTTCTAGTAGTTCAATTGAACCCGACACTGATATAGATACGGCTAATTTCTCGAGGTGGCTAGTTCTGAGTGAGTACCTAACCATTGCAATGCGCGACTGCCTCAACCCCCGGATTAACCTTCCCCGATGTCGATTAGACGTCCCGAAGGGAAACCAAACATACCAGAATTGCCGTCGCCTTCCTAAGCTGCTCTTCAACAACACCCTACTCTAAGCTCGATTTCAGCTGAGATTCGCGCCATCTATCTGTCGGTTTTCGTCTCTTATCGCGCCGCACAAGACAGTAAGTACCGCTGTCTCTTCTCGACTCCGCCTGCACTCCTAGCTCCGCCCTTGGTGGCATAATTTTCTGACATTGTCCCCCAAGGTCCCACAGGTCAAGGACTCAAATCATCATGCCCAAGAAAGGTGGAAAGGGAAAGAAGGGCAAGGGTAAGGGCGGTGGTGGCACAGCGAAGAATGCACCCTCCGTCCAAGAGCCTGTGTAAGTTGCGCAAATCTCCGTTTGTTACGCGAACCTCTAGGTTCGCTTCAGAATTCGCAGCAGAACTGACCGCAGCCAATTCTTAATAGGACTCCCGGCCACCAAGTGGAAGATATCGTCAAGGGCGAAGGCGAAGGTGAAACCACCGAAAGCATCGCCCCCGGTACTGCTACTCATGTACCCTCCGCTGCCCCGCCTCAGGCCGCCGAGACAGTCGCCACGAGCACAGGAGCAGAGGGCACGTCAGCCGCGGAGACCCCTGAAATTGGCGATTCATCTAACGAGGAATTAGACGAGCTTAGGGGCCCCGGCACCGCCAAGAGGTTCTCGTTGGCGGAGCACCCGGGTGACGCAAAGGGGCGCATGCCGTCTTCCTTGCCCGATAAAGGAGAAGCAGCCGAATCCGAAGCGAACGAGAACACCCTGCAGGGTGCTGTCGGCACTGCAGGTGATGGCGAGGGACAAGGTAGGTGTTTCTTGGACATGTAAGCGAGGACAGCTAGGCTCACACAATTCTCAGGCGTATTGCCTGATACGGTCGCCAAAGAATCCCAGTTGACGGCTCCTACGACGGCCCCCGAGACCACCATTCCCGAAGCGACTGCTACCGAGGCCGCCGCTCCCGTACCCGTCATCACAGACGCCAACGCTCCAGTGTCGGAAGCGCCGGCGGAAACAGCACTGCCCGAGAGACTCAAGGAGAAGGAAACTGCTGCGGCCGAACCGACAGCCACATCTCCGTCCGACAGTGCGGACTTGACTGGCCATCCAAAGCGCCCATACGAGAGCAGCCTCTTCCACAAGGACGAGGACCACAAGCCTCCCAAGATGGCCAAGGTCGAGGACTCCGAAGCCGCCGCCCCTGCCGCCGCAGAAACCAAGGCTGCGGACTTGCAAACCGAGGTGCCAAGCAAGTCGACGGTGGAACCCCTGGTTGTCCCGGGGCTTGGTGCCGAATCCACAGGCCTACCTGTCTCCGATGCTGAAATTCCTCAGAAGGTCGAGCCCGCAGAAGCTGTTGCCCCGACCACCGCTCCTTCGGCCGCCCAGGCTGCTGCTTCCACCACGTCCCCTGTCGTTCCGGCCGCAGTTGCTGCCGCAGGCGCAGGAAGCGAAGCCGACGCGGAGGCCAGACAGAAGCAGGAGGCTAAAGAGAGCATCCAAGCTTTCACCAGCGAGGGACAGGTTTCCGCGGCCAAGGAGCCCCAGCAAGAGTCTGAGGAGACGGCCAAGGAAAAGGCTCAGGAGACCGCGCCCGTCAAGACGACCCCGGATACTCCTACAAAGGCCAAACCCAACGTCGCTACCGCTGCCGCCGCCGCCGCCATGAGAGGAAAGTCGGCTGCTTCCCCGGCACCTGCCACCGAAGGCGCCGATAAAACTGAAGCTGAGCCCAAGGAGAGTCAGCCCGAGACTCAGGGTCAAATCCCCGCCGAGACTCCACGGGGAGAAGAGGCGACTGCAGAGGAGACCCAGCAGCCAGAGACCACCGGCGCTAAGCAGTCGCACGAGGAGGCCCAAATGGCCGTCGACAAAGCTCAAGAGGCAGCTAAAGCCGAGGCCGCCAAGGCGGACAAGCGCAAGAGTGGGTTCTGGTCATGGATCAAGCGCAAGGTCAAGGGGACTTAATCGCTTGCCTTGCTTAGTCGACTATTCTTATATACCTTTATACAAGTACACAAGCACAACAGAAGACTGCCGAAGAAAATAAAGACCGAAAAAAAAAAGACAAAAACGAGACGAAAATATTGCACGAAAACGGATGATGATTGATGTATGGAGTCGGGCCAGTGCATCAGGCTGTGTATGATATGGATGGGACAAGATACCAACGGGTCTGGGTTGGAGGCATTGATCTGAGTTGCTTTGAATGATTGAGTACTGCTGCGGGGTCTTTACACCCTCGGCTGTTTTGAGATTGATACAAGTTAATGTTAATTGAATGAGTTCTACCATAGCTGTCTCCTATTAGATACACCGCTCATTGTGAATGAAGTCCTTGGAGGAAGTTGATAACGTGAAATGAATTGCAGTAGCCTGGGTAACAGTGGATACTTGCACAATACTCTCAGTGGAACTATCTTATGGAGTAATCTACGTACTATGAGCTCTGCTACTTAGAGAGGTACCTCTACTTGGTATAATAATATTGATGCCACTGTCATCATTGCAATCACAGTACTCCACTTGGCGGCTGGAAATGAGCAGCGTACACGATCCCCTCTGTATTGATGTGGATCGACTCCCGATCTTCTTCCGACTCTCTTGATCATCCTCGTTCAATCCGGTTCAGTACTTGCAAATAGACAAGGTAGTACTAATATTTACAGTGCCCTTGAGATTCTGTCTCCCTCCTCCAACCGGTTTTGTCTCCTCGACTGTGGAAGTGGCTGAGATGAGACCCAGTTTATCCACTTGTTCCTCGACCCTCTCCCCTGGCCAAGCTTTTCTAAGCTTTGGATAATCTGACCTGCTATTTTGGTCATCAATCAGTACGTACTTATGAATTGGGATTGCCCGTGGAGGGGTGGACCCAATGAGACATAGTCAGCTCTCCATCTCGTCCAGATGACGGACTGACTGGCTGAGAATGTTTTCTCACTCCCTAGCAGGTTGAAGGGCTTTCCTAGTATCCAATCTCAGGATGCTATTATCCGATCCGCTGATGTTGTGGTGCCACTTTTCCATAGCACTCGTACAGAGGAGCAACACTGCTGACAGCCACCCCCTCTTCTCCCCCCTGATGATAATAATGACGGGTCCTCAACGATAGAGCGATCCATCTCTTGGTTCCCGCCCTGTTTTGTTTACTCTGATGATCCGTGCTGATCTCTCAAATTATTAAGATTCTGAAATAGGCAGATAAATATTAATACATTGCTTTCCCCTCCAGCTCCTGCATCTGACGTACTTCCTCTTGCATTCATCATCTGTCCCAAGTACCTGCATCCGCATCTGCATCCGCATATCACCACATAGAAACCCAATATGGTCCACCTTGCCGCGGTCAAGCGCGACAGCGAAAATGTCGAACCTCTCGTTAAACGCGTTGATTCTATCAAGCTCGAAACCACCGAGGATGACGGTTTCTACTCCACTGTGTACGGTACTCGGTTTGCGGCGGAGCAGCTGCCCCAGACTGAGATGCCCGAGAAGGAGATGCCCCGTGAGGTCGCTTACCGTATGATCAAGGACGAGCTTAGTTTGGATGGAAATCCTATGCTCAAGTAGGTTGACTTTTCGAATGATCCTGTGGGTGTGCATAGCTGATTCTCTGTAGTTTGGCTAGTTTTGTCACGACGTACATGGTATGCAAGGCCACACCTACTTGTACGCTGCAGCTAATTCGAGTAGGAAGATGAAGCCGAGAAACTCATGACCGACTCTTTCAGCAAGAATTTTATCGATTACGAAGAATACCCCCAGTCCGCCGAGATCCAGAACCGGTGTGTCAACATGATCGCTCGGCTGTTCAATGCCCCCATCGACAGCGAGGACGAGCACCCCGTCGGGACCTCGACCATTGGCTCTTCCGAGGCCATCATGCTGGGCACGCTGGCCATGAAGAGACGGTGGCAGAACAAGCGCAAGGCCGAGGGCAAAGACCACACCCGCCCTAACATCATTATGAACAGCGCCGTGCAGGTCTGCTGGGAGAAAGCCGCGCGGTACTTTGACGTGGAGGAGCGCTACGTCTACTGTACCGAGGAGCGCTACGTTATTGATCCCAAGCAGGCCGTTGATCTGATCGACGAGAACACCATCGGCATCTGCGCCATCCTGGGAACCACGTACACGGGCGAGTACGAAGACGTCAAGGCGATCAACGATCTCCTGGTCGAGCGCGGCCTGGACATCCCTATCCACGTGGACGCCGCCAGCGGTGGCTTTGTCGTCCCATTTATCCACCCCAACCTGTTGTGGGACTTTCGCCTGGAGAAGGTCGTGTCAATCAACGTGTCCGGCCACAAGTACGGCCTTGTCTACCCCGGCGTGGGCTGGGTCGTCTGGCGATCGCCCGAATACCTGCCCAAGGAGCTGATCTTCAACATCAACTACCTCGGCGCCGAGCAGGCCAGTTTCACCCTCAACTTCTCCAAGGGTGCCTCTCAGGTCATCGGCCAGTATTACCAGATGATCCGACTGGGCAAGCGCGGCTACCGCTCGATCATGGTCAACATCACGCGCATCGCCGACTACCTGGCGCAGCAGCTGGAGCAGCTGGGCTTCATCATCATGAGCCAGCGGCGCGGCCGCGGACTGCCGCTCGTGGCGTTCCGCCTGCCCCCGGACCGCGACGAGCAGTTCGACGAGTTCGCCCTGGCGCATCAGCTGCGCGAGCGGGGGTGGATCGTGCCCGCGTACACGATGGCGCCGCACAGCAACGAGCTGAAGCTGATGCGGGTGGTTGTTCGCGAGGACTTCAGCATGAACCGGTGCGACGCTCTGCTGGCGGATATCAAGCTGGCGCTGAAGACCTTGAGCGATATGGACAAGGCCATGCTGGAGAAGTATACTTTGTAAGTACTGACACCCCTTAACTAACCAGGCTCTACTGACGAGATGTGTCTAGGCATGTGCAAAACCATGCAGTTAACTCGCACAAGTCCAAGCATAACCATTCGCACTACAAGAACGAGAAGCATTCCTTGCAGGGCAAGACCGGGAAGACGCACGGAGTCTGCTAGTCGATTGATACTCGGATCGCGCAGGAAGCGGTAGCTAGTGATACGATACGAATGATACTTTCACTCATTTCTTGACATAGTTACTTGTGTCTACTTCATAAACTAAGCTCTTAGTCTATATCGACTCATGGGCTAATCGTATAATGACCCACCCTGAATGCAACCATGCCCAGGATGCATAAGAGTGCGCGCAGCGGACTATCCATGTACTGCCAACGAGTCATTAGCCTGAAGGCCGAATGGAGACGGGCATGGTCTTATATCTCCATTCCCCGTCTACACAGCCTTAAGCCAAGTAAAACTTTCACTAGAAGCCACCATCAAGACAATATGATCTCCCAACCCGCATCCGAGTCTCTCATCGCCGTCCTCTGCGGCCTGCTAACGCTAAACATTTACGCCCTCCTCCCTCTTCTCATCTCCATCCCTCCACTCTTCGATTTTCTCGTGTCGGCACCGCTCTATGTCCTCTCGCTACAAGGCCTGATCTCGCTAGCCGCCATCCGCCTGTTCTATATCGCTACGCGCCGCCCCTTCCGGCTCGATTGCAGGAAAACTCTCGTCCTGTTGCTCCTGTACGCGGTGTTTCCCGTCCCGAGGCTTGCTATCTGGGTGCTTGATACGGTCGTACCGAGTATCTGTGTACGGAAGGGGTTTTGCAAGGTATGCCGTGTCGATGCCTGCTGGTGTGGGGATAGAGATACTGACAGCAATGTACAAATAGAAATAGGTACGATAGACTCATCGTCTGCCAACTACGGTGCAATTGCTTTCCATTGCTTCGCTTTGCGCGGGGGCAGACGCACGACGGGTCGGAGTGAGTTACGTTATACTAGCAGCTAGAATGGTGAATATCTGTCGGCCTACTGTAATGAGCTCAGTAGTCGTTAATGATAAGTTAAGGTCCTTAAAGGGAGAGATGAAGAGGCAAAGGGAAAGAGTGAGAAAAGCATGAGAGGCTACTATAGGAGGTGACAGGATAGCAGATGGCATTCAACATAGGGCTCAGTACTTGTTTAGGAATACAAAGCTATTTACCCGAGGTAACCTGCCAATACTACCATGGATGCCTCTGCCAAGGGCTTCCCTTTGGTCTTGGAAGAAAAGCAGTTGTACATCCTCATGGAGAATGGTGATGCTGCTGCTGAGTGACGTCATGTATACGAGACTCCGTCGTCGAAGTGATCTGTCGATGAATATTCATTCGCTGTAATTCAGCTTCTCGATAAATATAATCCTACTCAAGCTAAATAGGCCGACTCAACAGTCCCACTATGAAGCGTCTATCCATCGATCCCCGTCAAAATATCCCCCCAATTCGGGATTCGCCGGCTGCTTCTCTTCCAGCAAGTCTTCCCGAGGCGAAAAACATCAAGACAAATCCTGCCCGAGCCGGAGAGGAAAATGCATCGGTTTACTTCGTTGGAACGGCTACAACGATCTTGTCAGTCGCTTCTTGCCGCATATCAATGAGATGCTAATCTGGATAGTGAATGGGAGGGGATGAGGTTGATGACCGATGTCCGTTCATGCTCTGTTAGTACATTGGCACAAACTGACAAGATAGCCAAACTTCCTACATGCGGGAGACCATGTCCATCTTGGTCCTGGGGTGACTGCTACCCGTCGAACCAATCCTGCGGTTGACTTGCACGAACTGCCTCGAATCGACTTGGTTCTTTTATCTCACTATCATGGGTATACTATACTGCCTCTAGCGACCACTTCATCTGGACTGACCATTGCAGAGATCATTTTGATGAAAAGGTCGAGGCATCTCTTCGGCGAGACCTGCCCATCATCACCACCAGCCATGCCAAGTCCATATTGACGTCCAAGGGGGCAGACTCCTTCCAGCAAGTGTTTGATCTCGAGCCATTTGAGCAGATGATGGTCAATGTGAAATCCGACAGCTCGCGAACCAAACAGCCACACATTCGAGTCACCGGAATGCCAGGCAAACACATCCCGACCAACAAGGTCGTGGAGAAATTGAACGAGTTCGCGGCAGCAGTAAGCATTGCCCTGACATGGCAATGACATATGACAATGAATTGACGTGCAAGATTCCCCCCACCAACGGATGGATGGTTGAATTAGGCTATGGCAGCACCCAAACTATGCAAAATGATTTCGATGTGGGCTATCGTATCTACATCTCCGGTGATACGCTGATGGTGGATGAGCTCAAGGAGATCCCACGGCGGTTCGCGGGCCAGAAAATCGACCTGATGCTCATCCATCTTGGAGGCACGACGGTGCCTCATCCGAACATGTGGCCGCTGACGATGATGGTGACGATGGATGCGCAGCAGGGCGTGGAGCTGGTGCGCCTGATCAAGCCTGATCTGACCATTCCGATCCACTATGATGATTACAACGTGTTTGCCAGTCCGCTGGAGGACTTCAAGATAGAGATGCAGAAGGCGGGATTGGCAGGACAAGTGGTGTATCTGGATCGCAAAGAGGCTTACCACTTTCAAGTGAGAGCGACCTGAGCTTCTTAAAATGAAGCTGCGATGATCTCGTTTTGTTGATCCTAGATCTTATTGGACCTTGTCGGATGGATTTAGCCTTGTTCTTTGTGAGCAGCACCTCGTGTTCGGTTGGATTATTTATAGCATCAACAACCAACAACAAATCCAGTGATTAATCTTCCATCGATTTCATTATTCCTCACCGTCGTCTCTCCTCACAATTTCTGTTTACCGTGCGTGGCTGCAGTTGTGTTGTTGTTGTTGATGCTTCATCGCCCCTCTCCTCTCCTCCCCCGCCTCCTTTTCGTCCTCTTTGGACGATCATCGCGTCCATCCCACCACTCTCCATGCCTTTGTTTCGCAAAAAGCACAAATCCCCGTCGCCTGCTGCATCTCCCGCCTTTCGTTCGGTCGAGCAACTGACCGTACCCCCTCCGTCCACCGCTTCGTCGCCTCGTGTTCCTCCTGAAGATCCTGCGTTCTATCAGCGCTTCGCCGACGTACGGCTCCCCACTTCTCCTGCGGATCCGCCAGACAACTCGTATTCTCAACATCATCAACCACAACAACAACACCAGCATCATCATCCCCATCCCCATCCCCATCCTCATCAGCTATATCATCAGACTCATCCCGATCATCAGAACCCTTCGGAACATCCACCATCGTATCAAGCTACAATTACTCGGTCGCAAAGCCAACACTCTCCTACTCTGCTCAACTCGGTACTTGCGACCCCCGCTTTACCAGCTGCTACTCACTTCATCGATGCTGACCCTCGCGACCAGTCCAACGTGGACAGGGCCTCTGAGCAACCGGCTTTGGCCCCCAACGCTCACAATAGCAATAAACAGGATCCGCCACAAAAGTCCCGCAGGAAACTATTCGGCCTACATTCCTCCTCGTCCTCGTCATCGACAGGCTTCTTGGAACGCAGCCTGTCCGTCAAAGGCACTGCCTCGTCGCAATCGTCCCGCCAGCGACGGCATCAGCAACAGCTATCGCTAGACACCCACCGCACGCATCGCGATCGAGATCATCAGAAGAGTAACCGAAATATCAATTACCATTCCTCGTCCGAGACAGTGCCCGAGGACCATGTGGTAGACCCCAACCGGGCCAGCTCACAGTCTCTCCTCATGCAACAGGACACGGCGTCAGCTCATCAGCGACCTCCCCGTTCCCCGCAGCACCCGCCTTCCATTCAGCGATCCAACACCGATCCTAGTCTTATCGAGAAGCTATACAATTCCTCACCTGTCGACTCGGCTTCCAGGCAACCTGTAGACCCTCCCCAAGTCATTTCCAATCAGTCACAGACGCATCTGCAGCCGCAACAATCGCCCGTTTCCCAACTTCAAGTGGAGCCGCCGTTGAGTGCACGACCTCCATCGCGACAGTCCTTGGGGCCGCCCTCTCCGTTGCCCCCATTCTCCCATCAGCCGGATCTGCACCCATCCCCCGGCCACCCGAGCGGCATGGCTTCATTATCCGACCGTCCGGCCGGTCCCCCGCAGACGCAGCCCCAAGGTCATCCGTCCTTCCAAGGTGGCAGTCAGCCGAATGCCACAGAGTCAGGGCGCAGCACGCCCCCTGTCAATTCGAGCAGAAGAGATGATCTGGGGGAGATCGATGTGCGAGCTTTGCTGCAAAAGCATGATGAACTCCGTAAGATTTTACGCCCCCCCGCGCGCCCCAGTTTGACGAGACGTACTGACAGGATTGTAGAGGCCAAGTACTCCAAAGTGAAGCGGTACTATTTCGAGAAAGACGCTCAGGTGCAGCAACTGCAGAATACCGTGGCCCATCAGCGCATGGCGGTGTCCCGAACGGTCCTCGACGACAACGAATATGCAAACCGGTTCGCGCGGCTTGACGGCGCCATCAAGGACCTGGCCTTTTCCATTCGAAGAGACTGGAAGAGCTTGCCCACCTGGTTGGCTGGCCATGTCAATGAGGACGCACACGCGACCGGCATGAAGGAAATGACGGCCATTGGCCGCGCGACGATGAGCCGATGGCTGGTGGAAGAGATCTTTGAGCGGCATTTCCATCCAGCTCTGGAACCGAACTTCAGCATGCAGCTGAAGAGCATCGAGATGAACCTGCGCCGGCAACAGACCAAGACCTACACTGATGAGGATCGGGAGAATGCGATCGCGCGGATCTCCAACTGGCGGCGAACCACATTCGACGGCCTCACGGACTGCCTGCAAGGCAAAGCCGCGGAGGAGAACCGGGCGCAGCTCATCAACCACCTCGTGGAAAAATTCGTCGCGTGCCTGGAGATGAACCTGTGTGAGCCTCCGCCGGCGGGGCTCGAGACCGGCGCACGGATGATCGTGGAGAACGCCGTGGTTATCTCGGAGAAGATCCCGCTGGAGTCGCGCGATATCTGTGTGGAGTATTTCATGCCGGGGACGCTGGTCAACGAGGCCGTCATGAAGATCGAGGGGGGCCTGCCGCCGCTGACGAATGTGAAACAGCCCCCCGAGCTGCCCCCTGCGCGAGGCTCTATCGAGCACGAGGGCGCTCACGATGGGTTTGTCGAGGATGGCGATGGCGAGTCCGTGCCCCCATCGGGCGGTAGCAACTCGATGGATGGGGCATCCGGGGCAGGGTCCACTCCCGGACGAGAACAGCGCATGCGGTCGGTGTTCAACACGTTGATGGGCAAGCGGCCGGTCCCGACAGTCGAGGTGAGCCACGGCGGCAAGGAGATGAAAGAGCCGGTGGAGGAACGAAGCGGCGGCCGGATCCGATTTGCCTCGTTCCTGAGCGCAGAGGTTCGCGGGAGAGGGCCTACGAATGTATTGGTCAAGGCGCCTGTATATTTGATATGACGTATGAAATCACGACCTAATCATGATAATCCTACTGAAGTTCACTTCGTCAACTTAAATCTGAGCCCCCTACACAACTTTAGTTTACATTCTAGTCTGTTGCCCCCAAATTAGAACGGAGGAGGGCTCAGATCCAACCCGTCGACCGTCAACTTAAACGCATCGTTGCGCGAATAGCTCCCCGCAACATCCATATCCAAGCGGCCGCGCTCACAGTCCTCCAGGTCAATCTCGGCGACCAGCAGCCCGTCCCCAACCGCATTCCCATCGGCATCGGTCCCGGCCGCGCGAGCCGTTACTGCAGAGTCGGGCGCATCATCCGCAGAGACCTCCCAGATGGGGCCGGCCAGCACCTCACCGTGGCAGCCGACAATGCACGATCCGCCGCGGCAGATAAAATCATCGCCCTC